GGGCGATTGGCTGCTCTCTTTCTGCATCCACAAGTTTTGTCATGTATTAATAGGCAGATAGCTATGAGGCTACGGCAATATTTCGAACGTTTCGTGCTAGAACGGTAGTATAGGCACATAGGCACAGAGTTATCCATTGGACATTCTTTGCAACATCAGGGGGGCTCCTTTGATCAGTACCCATGACACCCACCATCATCAGTGTCATTTGTCCTCCTCCACGACGCACCCTGGTGAACTCTAAATAAACTACCGCCTTCAGCCTCGACATGGTAAACACGGGAATCACGATTGATCTTCAGTTTGTGGATATAGCTCGCGATTGATCCTCAGTCTTTTTCTTGATGAGCTCATCTAACTCTCGAGAACCACATTCATGCTGTGCGCACAAGACCAGCTCAGTTTCAGTCGGCATAGTTAAGCGCTCTATGCAGAGGAGACGCAGAGCCTAGGGCGTCATTACACTAGCTTATGGCATGATTACACTAGGATGGACTGACTACCTTCTGCGGATTTGGACTGAAACATTGTCGGATGCATCAGCAATTGTACAGTTTGTACTGGCGTGCGTCTTCCCGTCGCTGTTGACACGGTGACCATACTTCGCTTACTTAGATGGGGCACTCACTGCCGTCGGGGTTTGCGAAGTCGCTAGATGTCTTGATCATGACACAGTCGCTGTCTCTCCCGTCACTGTTGTAATTACCCCATCCTCCCTTGTACTGCACGGCCGAGATGTGGATCTTGATGTACTTGTTCAGGAACCATGGCGCGTCATCCTGAAGGTTCCTTTTGTGAATCCACTCCTGAATGGTACTGAACTTGTTGGCGCACTTGATTCTGTCCCAGGTGGGACCGTCCGCACTGGCGCTCATTGCGCACCAGTCAGAGTTTACCGTCGCCGTTTTCAAGTCCACCTCCGTCGTGCCACTGCATGCACAATGAGCCAGCGCAGAAGCGGGCACAAACAGCCCCACACAGGAAACAGTAGAGGCACACGAATACACTGCGTTAGAGCCCCACCCCTTTTCAATTTTCACATCATACGATCAGGTCATTTTGAGGTCGGACAAACTGAATGACTTGGCCGAGTGATGTTCGAGGTGATCAAAAAAAAAAAAAAAAAAAACACCTTCAAGCTGCCTTTGTGTACATGCAAAATCAGCGGAGATTCATTCGCAACACACTCCTATTTTACGAGGATAAGTGTCCTAGGAGGCTAAGAGTGAGATCGAGAACGTTGGGTAACAAAGCATACTCATACTAGTTAATATGTGGCCTGAGCATTGGCTGGCTCTATGCCACGTCTGCAGCTCCACAGATTCTCAAAATGGGCATGCTTCGCTTGTTGCACGAGCGGCTGGCAAGCGAACGGGACCATTAATGCTTCCAGATTCATTCAGAACAGTCCTAGTGAGAATGGTCGTCTAAAATGATTCCCAATGAGGTATAACAATGAGATTATTACGATGATGAAGTTATTAAGTACGAACCGAGTTACCATGGACTTATTAAGTATGTAGTATGAAGTAACTCCTTTCTAGCACGGGTGACTGTGAATCGCTCAGTGAGTGATAACGTATTACTTACGTTTTGACATGGTGCACAATGCTGCCTGTACATGTGCTGTACGCCACGTCGCCACCAGGACAGATATTCAGCACAGGTATGTTCGACGGGTTGCAGGAAAGGAAGAAATTGCAGTACGTGAGCGGCTGAGTCGCGCCTGCGGGTGACGAAGCGAGCATCGTCGCCATCGCCACAAACAGGAAAGCGGAGATCATGCTGCCCGCTGAAACGGTCTTCATCATGCCAATCTCGTTGACGTCGCGAAGAAATTGGTCCCGAACGTGGTGCTATGGCAATGAGGCAGGCAATAATCCCTAGGGACAGCAAATAGATGACCGGGTGTCAAGTCACCGGCAAACAAACGTGCTATAGAAATCACTCGGCCCTTCGCTGCTCGATTGCTTGCTCGAACACTGAAACTGAAGAAGAAGAAGAAGAAGAAGAAGAAGAAGAAGAAGAAGAAGAAGAAGAAGAAGAAGAAGAAGAAGAAGAAGAATTTTCCGTTCCCTCCCACCGAGAGGACAGATTGTGCTTGCGAAAGTCTGTGAGTGAGTGCAGAAGTACCTGCCTGCTTTGATGCAGGCCTGTGCAGTGTGCACTGATTTCCAGCTTGCGAGTGAACGCGCGATGCAGCTTGCGATGCGGCTTGCGGACCTGAGCTCTGCGGGACATATATATATACTGTCACGCTGAGGCTGTCTAATATCCATGGTGTTGAATGGGGCCCCTTCGAGCTGGTTGTGGATTGCTGCTTGTCCAGCTCACTGTTCCTGCAGGCTGACACGAAGGGTGGACTCCGAGGGAGTCAACTTCAAGTCTTCCACCTCACTTAGTTGAGCTTTCGAAGGGGTCCAGTGACTCCAATGGGACTTTCTTTTTGTTTTGTGTTTTTGTTTTTATTGGGTGCATTTTGGTCTTCGTCTCCAAGCATTTGAGAAATTTGTAGTACATACCAACCGGCCTAGCTGAGCTGGTACACCCATGAACTGTTGGAACCCAGGCCGAAGCTCAGATCCAGATGCAGTCAGATAAACAGAATTGGAAAAAGGCTAAGAGAAAAAAGAAAAGAAGTAGACCACCCCTGTGGCAAAACCTTTTCAATTGCTTGCCCCCAGACTGGGCCAAAGGGTGAACCCACATAAAACCCTGATAAAAAAACTTTCATCTCATTTCTGGCCCCCCTGGTCGTGCCACGCTTGAGGAGGTTTAGTTCTGGTTTCGATTGTTTTTCAATTTTTCAGCGTGCTCACTCTGCAGGGGGGAGATATTACCATAAAAATGACAGGAATTCCCCCCCCCCCCCCCCCTCCTCCGAGGATAAAAAACAGGATGGCAGGGACCCATGGATACTCGAAACCAGACCTAAACCTCCTCAAGCGGACCACGGGCCGGGGACCTCGCCCGGTAGGGCCACCAAGTGGAGAGTTTTGAAGTGGGCCCTAAGAAACAACTCCGAAAACGTTATTAATCCCCCTTTCGGAAAGACTAAACCTTTGTATTTGTCTTCTTCAAATGCGAACGGGGCAAGACGTGCACCCTGGTCTATAAGCAGTAGGTCCGCTAAGGGGCCTATCTCCACAGATTAACCAAATGTGCAATTTCAATGCATTTTTTTTTTTTTGGACATGGCAGGTTATGAAACTTCCTTTTTTGTTCTTTTTCAAATAAAGATACAAACTTTTTGTCCTATCCGGACACGGTGGAAGTCAATGGCCCTGGCTCCACTACTGTTCACAATTACAAAAGACAAATTTAAAACTACGGCAGTGTATCTTTCCATGTTCTAGCGGAAGATTCATTCTCATTTTCCTCATTTGATGAGTAGTGGATCGAGGCCCAATAATTGAGTAAGGGCCTCTCCGCACCACAGTCGAAGGGCGAAAAAATTTGACGGCTGTCAGAACAAATTCGACAGCCTCCATTCGACAGTTTGCCCCCCTTCTGCCACACAGCACTGTAGAGTGCACGCACTTGTGAATGCGAGATGGAAAAAGCCGAACGCGCCAGAGGGTACGACAAGCATTAGTCCATACCGACCTTACCCCCCCTCACCGAATTTCGAAGAGAAGTCGACAGTGCAGCCGAGGAGTGTAGAAAGTATGGGAGCAGGCTGGGGATTCAACAACCTTCGACAGGAGCTGTCGAGAAGCATGCTCTGACAACTGGAGAATTTTTTTCCCGTCTCCGACTTCGACAGCCTGTGTGGCGGAGAGAAACTGTCAAAAATTGCATTTTCGACAGTGGTGCGGCGAGGCCCTAAAAATGCTGAGGTTGCTCGCATTCCGACTTTGTTGTAATTTTTATTGGAATCAATGAAATGCCTTTTTTTCCCTTTCTTTCTTTAGGTGAGGATAACTTTGATTTGCATGATTGAGAGTTCAGCCTGTTCAGGGTTTCAAGTGGGAATTAATTTTGCTGGGTGCCGAATTGCCAATTACAGCACCCTGCTGGTCCATTCAACTTACTTCCTTCATTCTTTTTTTTGGCTGTTCATAACTGTCCTTCTAATCGAAGGCTCACGAGTGTGGAGCGGCTTTCTGGCTTTTCGGCAAGGTCAGCGTCCCCATACCGATAGCCTGCAACTTCGCCGGCAAGTGGTGGAACGAACACTGGTCATCAAGTTCTCGCCCTTGTCTGCTGCACTTTGCTGACAGTGCTGCGTTGCTGAGTCACGGTAGGCTCTGTAGCAATGGCAAGAATGCATGCACGGCTGTGTTCACACGAATAGAACGAATGGTGAAAATTTTCAACGCATCTGGACTGCAAGTTTGACCAAATACGGATATAAGCCCGAATCTGAGCCGAAAAGGAGCTCAGTAAGTTTCCCACCTACCGATAAGGGATCTTCACCATTGACAGTTCACTGCACTTCGGTCTTTTGCACCCTCTAGTGGATCCTCCCCCCTCAATTCTCCTTTGCTTACTCCCCACCTCTCTCTCTCTCTCTCTCTCTCTCTCTCTCTCTCTCTCTCTCTCTCTCTCTCTCTCTCTCTCTCTCTC